CTATCGCATGCAGATTAACTAGAGGCATAAAAATCTTAATCAGAAGATGAAAACAATATAATTCAATCATTTTTAAAGCAAAAAATGCACAATTTACTAACAGACCCCACAAAAAAAATCTCTTCTGAATCCATTTTAAATTAGTTTATAATTTATTTGGCGAAAAAGGGTCCTTTATTCTCTCCTTACTTACAGATGTCTTGCAAAAACATTGTTAAATAGCAGTGAAAATCGATGTTTTTGTGGAAATATGATACCCGAATTTTTCACAATTACAGTATTTTCTGTGCTTATACATGGAAGTAAAGAGGGAAGATTTTATTAATCAAGTATATGTGTTGCTTCTAAATTGCTCAGGTTATTAAATAATATAGTTACAATTTAAAAGCTAAAAAAACTTATATCGTGTTAAAAGGCAGCATTCTGGAAACTGGTATATAATAGATACAGTCAAAAGTCATTAATTCGGACATCCATAATCCGGACCTCAAAGCTACAAACTTTCTGCGCACGTCTCGCTTTGACGCATGTGCATAAGACCTTTACGGCTGCGAGTATGCGCGTGCGCAAAAATAAGTTTATGAATGCGCGTTTAATGTATAACGGACGGTATAAGCTAAGCGAAAACTATCTAATTCAGTTAATGTTGCAGATTGCGTTGTTCCTTAATCTTCGAATTGGATTCGGCTTATTATTTTTTGCAGACTGTTAGAGCAATTTTATAAAAGTAAGCTTGAACTTTCGATGATGTCAAATAGAATATCTGATATATATTTACTAATATGTAAAGGATCTACAAAGCGAAAGCATGTTTCGAAGTCCATTAAACAAAAAGTGGAATTCCTGCAAAAAATGGATAAAAGCATATCCTTTGTTTATCTAAACTTTGTTTATCTTTAATGCCACAGCGCAAAATGAATTGGAAGTTGATCTGTCAGCACTATCCTTATCTTCAGGGCAGATGTTTTTATTTTATTTGGCTTATAATTCCTTACTAAATGTAGTATTTCATATCGATGTACTCCGTCTGTGATATGATTTAAATCAATTCCTCATTATTATAATTCGCTTCCGATAGTAAAGAAAGTGACAGAGGTTATTGAAAATGAAAAAATTTCGATTGACAAATTAGTCGGTATTCTCGACATAGCAATTATAGGACTTGAACAGCGGAACTTTCTAAATGAACAAGAAATTATGTCTGTTTATAGAATTAAAGAGAATGTATTATCACATAAAAAAAAGAAGCAACTTAAACAACTTACATTGAAAGAAATGTTTAATAAAGTAAACAAATAAATATTAAGCTTTTTTTTTTTTTTTTGTAAATTTTGAGACCCTTTAGATCATACAATTGTTCTTTATTTCATAAATTATGGTTTCATATTTTTAATTTTATAATTTCTGCATGCCATCTTACTAGATTTAAACTGATGATCTATAATCTGGAAAAATCGATAATCCAGAATCGCCGAAGTCCCGACGAGTCCGTATTAACGACTTTTGACTGTATTAAAAATATTATTTACTAATATATTTTAGTTTAATTTCAATGTACAACTGAAACCATATTGTTAATAATAACCTATTAATGTAATGATCACTATCACTCAAATATTTTCTGCATATTTGAAGAAACATGTAGGAAACATGACATGGAATTAATAATTTTTGATAAGAAAGTTAACAACATATATTTTATTATAGGCAGAAAAACAAATTTTTAACATTGACTATTTTAGTTAAAAGAATCTTCCCTGCTTTTGTTCTTCAGAATGTATAGTTTTGTGGATAATTGAAAAATCATTAGATTTAGATTTTATAGTACTAGATTAAATAAGAACTAACTCATAAAAAGTACAAAAGGGCTACTTATTTCATTTTGAATTTTTTATACAGAGAAATATATATTAAGTATATTATAATTTAATGTTGAAAGAAAACAGTGAAATGCATACAAAGCTCTTTCCTCACTGTAAAATCAGGAGTTTATTTAGAAGTTGCTATTTTTATCTGATGAAAAAGTACTGTTTTTAGTTCTTATTGTAATAATATAAGTTATAAACTATCACAGTATCTTTTCATTAATGGGAGCACAATCCTCAAGTATAAAATTTGAAGTTAAATGTAGCAAGAAATAGTGATGGGAACCCTAATGATACATTTAAAACATACTGCTGCTCAAAAGTATTATTGTGCATGAATATTTGAGAAAAATTATTCAGAGTGTGCCAAAGTGAATAATTCAGTAAAATCAAATAATTCAGTTAGTAAATTTTAGATGACATAATTCTGCCTTGTTTAGGCATGATCTAGACTATAACTTTATCTTGTGGTTATTGAATAAAATCTTCCACCATGAATACTTCCTTCTCTTCATTATTTGACAGTTACCAAATTATAAATTCCATCATAGCTCCTCCATAAAAATTTTAAATGAAAAATGTGCCTGGATCAAAACATGATGAGTCACAGTATAACTTGCCTATTGTTGATGCTGTAGCACACGTTTCGGTTGTTGCTGCATTGACAGAAGAATACAGTGCTAGATTAAAATAGCACGTTGCAAATCTTTAGTTATGAGTTCAAATTTGACATCTTAATTTGGAACAGCTTAAAGAGCAGTAATCAATATAATATAATAATTTGCTTTGATTGTGAATTAGAAAACCTGAAACTAATAATCTCCAAATATCGCTGCAAATTGCAAAAGCCATCTACATTTCACTGTTAACATCTGAAAAGTTGTATGGGTTCAGGTGTTGCTGTATTTTAGGTCTGTGCATTTTCAGTCTTCTGCTGTATATTTAAATACTAGGAAGCCCGGTGGTTATACGATATGACCGCTGTTCTAGATATTATAAATTGTAATTAAAATGATTTGCGCAAAGGTGTCTGTTAATTCAAACTGAATTACCCAGGGCAGGCGGCGAGGACGCCCCTTTGCTTACTGTCCCACGGGGTTTCCCCCTTGCTTAATTGCTTAAAGTAGAGTGCAATGAATAAAACCACTGGCGGTACAAACACTGGTGGTTTCTTAAGAGCCACTGCTAGCTGAATAAATAAATTTGATTTAAATAATAAAATGTTAATTCACATGTCAAAGATCTCTTTGTACACAATATTTCTTGTTTAGATATTTCCATCATTTTTAAGCTCGCCTTGCAGAGGACCATCATTATTTTAAATTTTACGTCCGTTCTTTCACAAACTCTTGAACAGACAGCATAAAGTTGACCGTGTCCAAATGCAGGCTCAGGTAAAAAAATGCCAACACGCTTAAGTGTTTGGCCTTGAGACGTATTGATGGTCATAGCAAAGGCAAGTTTTACAGGAAATTGTCTACATCTCAATTGAAACGGCAACCCTGTGCCGTGGCAACTTCACCCCATTGGCTAGTACAGTTACGCAAGCAACCAATAAACGATCGGTGACAAGCAAACACTTAAGCCGCATATATATATATATATATGGGATGAAGTAATTTTTTCTCCTCCGAAACAGCTGACTCCCGGGCTTAGGGAAGCACACCGTTGGATTTTGCAGGTCCGTGGCATGTCATTTTGACCATTCGCATCTTCATGGGACTTTAATTAGCTGAGATATTAATTAAAAACAAATTTTCCCCTACATTTTCCAAAAAACTCTCCGAATCCATCTATACCATTCTCATCTTCGTACGTCTTTAATCAGCCGAGATATTAATTAAAAACTGTGGAAATGTTAATTTCCACGCTCATTTTTCCGAATGGCAACAAAAAGCTATCAGCGAGAAACACTTAAGCCGCTTATATATATAAAGATAAAATACTTGTATAATATCCATATTACCATAATTTCTGGGAGAAACGCCGTGGTGTTTACGTATTTAAAACTTAAATTTTCAGCGCATGCGGCATTTCTACCCATGCGGCGTTTAGGTACACTAAAAATAAAATATTTCCTTCAATGGTCATTGTGCATAGTTTGAATAACTTTGTCATTGTACATAGTTTGAGTAACTTTGTCATTGTACATAGTTTGAATAACTTTGTCATTGGGCATAGTTTGAATAACTTTTGTCATTGTATATAGTTTGAATAACGTTGTCATTGTACATAGTTTGGATGGCGTTGTCATTGTCAAAGTGGGTAGGAAGTGCGCGGAAATTGCTAAAAACATCGTCAATAATAGCAGGATTCAAAGAAGCTGAAATTATATGTTTAGATAAAAAGACTGTAAACCAAGAGGATGAATGTGACGATCTGGAAGACATGGACTTCCAGATTGTCACATTCATTCTCTAAATTTACTAAATCTTTTTAATTCAGAAAGGGAAGAATCAGATTTTGATGGCTTCATATGATGTATAGTTTGCTTTAATTCCTTTCGTAAGTAAAAATTTAAAATTTGCTTTTGTAATACAAATTTAATAGTTCATTTTTGCAACATTTTTTATAATATAATCTGAGATATAATACAGATTTGTATAATATAGTCTGAGACTAAAGAAGTCCATATTTGTAAGTCCATATAATACAAATATGGACTTCTTTAGTGGGTAAATATAAGTATATTCGTGAACGTAAATATATTTTCAACATTTCTTACTTTTAATTTATTTTTGAGTTATGATTTCATTTCATGCATTTTTCTTAACTTATATGTCATATATCAGGACAAAGGTTGAGATTTTGCGTCTATACTGCCCGCGACGATGTCATGCGCAATTTAATCTATTGCGGCGTTTACGCTGATGCACCGTTTCTGTGTAATTTTTATTTTTTTCCCGGCATTTTTCTCGAGTGCGGCGTTTACACTGATGCAGCCTTTCTTCCGGAAGTTACGGTATATTTATGGATAATTAAATATAATATAGATATTTAAATATAATATATAAGTTATATCCATATTATATTTAAATATAATATGGATATTACTTACTGCTATAGAATACTGTTAAATAATGTTAAATTAGTAGCTTTCATTTATTATCTGACATCTTGCACTTAATACTTCAGGAGACAAATTCAGAATTGGAAATTAAAAGTGAGGAAATTGAAGAATTGAAGCAAAGAGAAAAGGAATATTTATCTGTCCTATCAGGGGATGAGAAAGAGAAAGCTGACCTTTTAAAGGAAGTAAGAAATTATATTGTTAACTGCTGCTGTCACGTACTTCCCCTTTCTCATAATAATAGTAGCAGTTGATGAATTTAATTTGTTTGATAGTAATAGTAGCAAAACGAAATAAATATAAAATGGATATTTAATTACTAAATAAAGTAGATTAACTTAAAACAATAGATTAAAAATATCACTCCTAATTTTTATTTTAAGTGTTCAGATAGTTTCTGAACTTTTCAATAATTTTGTTATTGCATTTTAAATTTGTAGGTACGAGTCCTTGGCTTCAAAGCAGCTTTGTTTTCCTTATATGCATGAGCTTAAGATTATTGAAGCCATTATTCTTCATTGCTTTCAGCATAATTTGTTGAAGTGACAGAAATGTATTATCCAGCATTTTGGGAGAAATATTGTCAAAGGCTGTGTTTCATGCTTTTGTGGTGCCTCTTCTGCTAAGAGGAATATGTCTAAGTTTTTCTCCATAATTTTTGTATTTATATAGTTTTTTGTTTTTCTAAAAGAATCAACTCTATCATAAGATTCATCTTGACAATTATTTTTGGAAGCATGTTTCCCAGTTCTTGATTTTGTCATTCTGTTGCACTTAAAATGTTTTGCAGCTAATGTAATTTCACCTTTCTGCAGTTTTCATTTTTCTTTTGATGAATCAAGAACTGGCCAGTAACTCGATCTTTGCTTGAAAACTCTTTTTTTCATGTTATTTTTACATTGGGTTGATATTCAACTGAAATAAAACAGTTGATTTTGATCAATGCATGAAATTAGAAAAGTAGTTATAATTTGTAAAAATTAGGTTAATGTAAAAATTGAAAGATGGATTAAAACAAATGGCAAATGTCATGAAACAATGATTTTGATTGAAAGCTTCAAAAATTTGCAGTGCAACATAATTTCCAGCTGTATTTGCCAATGATTCCTGTTTAAATATTTGTTTGCTACTATTATTATAGGACAGAGGGAGTAATACTATTACATTAATTTTATTTATTTACCATTGATAAATATAGCTTTGTGACATTTTTCTTGATTATTTACAGAAAGATCAAATGAAAAAGAAAATAAAAGATCAAGACGAATGCATTTCCAGATTAAATGATTTACTGCAAGAAGTTAGTATGTAATTCTTGTGCTTTAATTTAAATTTATGAAATGTAATTATAAGTGTAAAATTTTGTATGAAGAATTTTTGAAAAAGTTCTTGTAATTTGTTTGAAAATTCACTAAAATATTAAAAACCTTATACTAAATATATAAAATTTGTTTTGAGTTTTTTTTTTTTTTTTTTCCTTGTGTATTATGTTTTATTCTCATTTTTATTTTTAGAATGAAAATGAAATGGATGCTCTTCGCAAAGAAAATGCAGAATATTTAGTAGCTAAGGAGGAATATGAGGAAAAGCTTGTAGTATTGCAACAAAACTGCAACCAGCTTTTACAGGAAGCAGAAGTGTGGAATTTAAGGTTGTGTATATATAAGCTGTTTTGATCTTCACATTGTACTGGGTATATGCATAAGAAATTTACAAAATATTTCCTTCCATTTTCCACAGAGCATTGATTAGAGGATATGTTATATTATGCTAGACAGCAATTTTAACTTTTTGTCATCTACATGGATCAAAAAAGTGTCATTTCAACTAAATTAATCGTCTTAAATCTACAAATTACAGTAAAAAGCCTGTAACACATAACAGTGATATGTGACAGAAGTGACATGTATTGTGGACAGACAAATTCTAATTTTATTAACATTTACCCGTGCTAATCATCTTGATTATAAGAAGAAAATGTCCAGATAGGAGTGTAAAAAGTCTATTATCTGAGATATTCTGCATCTTAAATGGTAACTACTCAGGAGTTCTTCAAGCATTTATCAGTAATTTTCTGCATTATTATTTCCCTCAAGTTTGTCCATATTTTCAATAAAATGTTTTCAGCCTGCTAATTTTCTAATTAGTTTTTATGTTTTAATAGTATTCAAATTTTGGGGCCAGTGAATATATTTTTCTTTTACTTTTGCATTTTTATTATTTAGAAACTAACTTATGAGATATGCAAAACTTGATCTGTTTTTGTCTGTGTCATGTGTAAATACTTTATTAGGCTTAAATTTGTTTGTAAAGTTACTAGCAATGCCTCTTTTGGATTTGTTAATGGAAAATATCTAATATTATGTTGTCTTGGCATAAAGATTCACTTGGTGTATTCTCTTTTATACTATAGTGTGACCCATTTGTCCTACTTTTTAGTAAGAACTACCTTATTGTTAGCAAGAATAAGCAAAGAAAAAAATAAAAAAAATAGTATATTTTAAATTCTTGCAGGCTGAGTAACATGAAGATCACTGCCATGTTACTGATCTCTGTAAATCTTCCAGGTGTTTATTACAATTGTTTTATCCTTTAGTTGCTGTTTTTATTGCCCCTTTCTTGGAATGTGTGCAAAGTGATACTTATGTCTGAAGATATTTCCAGAAGTAAGATTACTTGAATCAGGCACACATTTTACTAAATAATCACACATACTAGAGTGATCTAATTTATGCAGCAGAGGCTGTTGAACACATTTTCACCGAATCTTTAGCAAATTCTTCCTTTTGCATTTTGTCATGTTTGTGCACTTAAAAACTTCTGACAGTTATTATCTGCCACTTAATCACGTGTGGGCCTCATTTTTAAATCACTGGCACTAGTCGTATGTTTCGATACAGGATCCTTTTTCTGTCTTTCTAAATCAACATTTATGTATAATGATATGTGTGTTCTCCTTTGCAAATTCCTTTATTTTGTAAATCATTTTCTTTTTATGATGACACCCATTTTAAACATTTATGTGGCCTAAATTTAAATATTTATTTAGAAAGCAAAACAAAAGGAATATGCATTGATTTAATACAACTGAACTGGCATAAGGCAAGTGAGTAAATAAAGAGAAAAGGAGGTTGGCAATAAGTATTTGTAGACTGAACAACATGCAACGAATCTCTGGACAGTGAGAGTTACGTGGATTAAGTGGACTATCTTTAAATATCTACATTTCATCAATTTTTATTCAAAAAATTTTAGAACTGATATTTTTCATTTAATATCTGAAACTGGTAAATTTTGTATTTATACCCATCTATTTCATAAATAGGTAAATTGCATATCTCTTATAATAAATATAATAGTAATAAAATTTCACGTTTTTACAGTACACAATAAAATCATCTAAGCCTAGGTTACTTGATAGATGTTTCGTTGGGGATATATGCTTGGGTTTATGTATACGAGCCAGCTTCCCTTAGAAAGTCCTCCATGAAGGCATCCCTCCCCTTAGGCAGATAGCCCTAGTGTGCTTTGCCATAATTAAATACACCACCACACCATATGCTTGGGTTTCTGAATATTGTGTATCTGTTGCTTTGCATTCAATATTAGACAATTCCAAAACAAAAACCTGTTCAAATCGAATGATTTCTTTTTGTGAGGCTATATTAAATAAAACTGTAAGACTGTGCTCCTTAGTTGTTCTCAAAATAGAGTAATTAAAGGTATGTCAGATGTAACTGTTTTGGAATGTAACTGAAGAATCAGCTGCAAATTACTTTTTTATAGATAAAATTTTATAACAATGTTAAAATATTTAACAAATTCTTGTGATTGTATATTTAGCATAACAAATATCTACTTCATTGTGCCTCCCTTATTATTCTTATTTGAGTTATATATTCTTATGTTTTATTCTCTAAGTTTGAATTTGTAAATGTAACCCTGGAAGTTGAATGTATTTTTTAAAAATTAGATTAAACAATACTACTTAGATTTTGAAAAGATTCAAACAGCTGAAATTTATCATCTAATGTAGTTTACAATTAGAACACACAAACTTTGTTACCTATTTCATTCACATTTACATAATTATTGAGGACTTTAAATGTGTGTGTAAAGAAAGAAGTTGCATCTTTAAAAAATAATGAGAAGATAGAGTATTAAGTTCTTAACAGCATTCCTAGTATTTAAATTCCCTTCTTATCAGTAAGTATCACTAGCCTGGTGGTATTGAATAGAGCTACTAACTTGAAATCTCCAGAATGAATCTTGCTGCACTGCCTTTTTTTTAAAAAATTGGTGTTATTCTTTTAAGGCTTTATTTTGGAAAAAAAAAAAAAAAAAAATATTCATAAAAGTATTTTAAGAGAATAATGCAAAAAATAAAACACTGCAAAAATTTTGGAGTAAAAACTGTATTTTAATTTATTGCATTTTTCATTACGTACAGAATATAAAGTATTGGGTTTTAATGAAAATTTCCCGCTGCCACAAATATCGTCTGTGCAAACAGTTCATGTTGATGTGTTGAATCATATTTCATCAAACGATTTTTGGCATTAGAAAGAAAGAAACTTGGTTTAGAACACTGTGTTGTGAAATTTGTAAAAAAGCATCTTTATCATTAAGTGCAAGGTGTCTGAAATGGAACTACCATGCTATCAGATTAGAACCATCATTTACTTCCAGTTCTGTTGCAGAAAGTCAACTACAGAATGCCACCAAATCATGTGTGCAGCTTTAGGTACTGATGTTGTATCATATAACACTGTGAAGGTTTGGTACCAAAAGCTCAAAAACAAGGACTATGACATTCAAGAAGCAGAGAGCTCTGTCCAGCCTACTGATGTTGATGAGGTCCACCTGCAAAAACTTGTGAAAGAGTATCAGTATGCAACCACTTGAGAGCTTGCTAAAGGAGTTAGATGTTAGTGCCATGTCCATTAATCGCACTATGCATTGCATAAATTTGACTATAATTTAAATCACTGGGTGCTGCATGAGCTGCTTGAAGCAGGTAAGGGCACATGTGTTCAGGTCTGCACTCATCTGTTTGAGTATCAGCGCAAGGACAAAATTCTGGACCAGATCATCACTTGTGATGAAAAGTGGATTTACTTCAACAACTCAGGCCAAAAAGAGGGTTGGTCTGCTCCCATTGAGTCCGGCCCACCACTGGCCGAGCGGTAAAGTCGCTGAACACTGGTAGTTCAGTCCGAGGTTCGAATCCCGCGAACGGGCTGCCTGCATGGGTGTTTTCGTGATTTTCCCCATGTGTAACGTGTATACGAGCCAGTTTCCCTTAGAAAGTCCTTCACGAAGGCATCCCTCCCCTTAGGCAGATAGCCCTAGTGTGCTTTGCCATAATTAAATACACCAACACCCATTGAGTCCGTCAGCAGCGTCGCAAAGCACAATCTAATTAACAAAAAAAAAAAAAAATCATGCTTTGTATCTGGTGGAATTGCCGTGGTATTACACGAAACCCTCGACAGTAAGATGAACGGCAAGGTGCTAGTCCATGTTGAAGCTGCTATCAAGGAAAAACGTCGAACTGAGTCCTGGCACAAAAAGGTAACGTTCCATCTGCAGCTGGTGCTATCTTTCATTCTGCACAGGATGTCCAAAATGAGGTTGATCAGTTTTTGGACTCTCGGCCGCTAAGTTTCTGGGCCAAAGGCTTTGAAAAAATACCAAAATGTTGATAGAAAATCATAGATTTGGGTGGTGATTACTATCCACACTATAGGTTACTGCCTTCATGTGTTTTTCTCATATATTTATTAAGAGAGTTTTCTGGCAGAAACCTTTCTTTACAACCAGATTTTAACATTGAGCACATTGAATAAATGCTAGTTTATTACAATTTAAATTTTTTCCAGAATAATACTTCTTAAAACTTTCTATAGTATTATCTGTAGAGAATCCTTATTTTCTTTCATTATATTTTTAAATTTCACAAAACCATGATATGAATAAAAACTTAAGTTTGATACTATCATTTATTCAATATACATGATACTGGTAATTTATATTTGAGAGTTTTTATGATAAATCACTTGCAAAAGAAGTTTATTGAAAAGTGGAGGATGTAACAACAAAAATAATTTATGTTAATGCCTTAAAAATATTTTCATGTATAAATTTTCTTTCAAATTAAAATAACGTTGAAAAAATTAGCAGCATAGATAAACGTTGAAAAAATTAGCAGCATAGATAAAAGTATAAGTTGCTAATAAAATTTAAATTGTAATAAACCATCATTTATTTGATGGTTTATTACAATTTAAACCTCTTGTGTACTCTTGCCATTACTTAATATTTGATCATTTTTATGACAAATCAATTGTAAATAAGTTTGTTGGAAAGTTTTTTTAAAACTGTTTATAATATTACATATCATTACATTATTCTCTTAAAAACTCTTTTCATGAATAAATTTTGTTTCAAAATAAACTGACATTTAAAATAGTATTAAAAAGACAGCATTTCTCTGCAGTTCCACCTGGCTAATGATGCTGACTGACATGAAGGGAGTTTAAATAGAATGAATATTGTTTAGAACTTGATTTATTTAATTTATTTCTTGCTTATTTGTGAGAAGTATATATTTCCTTTTCACACATAATTTTAAAATCTGCTGTAATTCTGCAGAATTTGAGAGAAATCATGAGGCAAAGGTTGTATCTCCTCTTGTTTAAAGATCTTAGAATTAGTCAAATAAGTAATGCTATTAAGAGGGAGTTTAAGTAAGAAAATGTACTTTCCAATGAAAAGTCATTTAATACTTTTTGGTAGCATTTTTATTATGCTGACCCTTTTTTTAAACATTTAATATTTATTTATTTAAGAAAGTGTATAATTTTAATCGCATATTGCACTTTTTATTACTTGTTATTTTTCATATATGCTATACTTTCTTATTGTAATATTGTTTATTATATCTGTAAACGTACAGTGGATGGACAAAAATATGGAAACACCTTGTGAAATGCATGTTTGAAAAGAAAGCTTGATTTTAATGAAATATGTAGGTGGCGCGGGCATTTTTGACTACTGACGCCACCTATACAACTTCGTAAATGTGCTAAACAGTTCAGTTGTTGTCGGAGTATTGTTATGTGAGGTTGTCATTGCATTATGTCAGAGTTAACAGACTTCGAACGTGGGCAAATTGTTGGAGCACGTATGGTAGGTGCTTCTGTCAGCAAGGTAGCCGAGGTGTTTAGTGTTTCAAGAGGTACTGTATCGAAGATTTATTCCGCATATTTGAAAAGCAAAAAAACATCATCTGCTAAATCACAGCGCGGTCGAAAGTGTGTCCTGAGTGATCGTGACAGACGATCATTAAGGGCAATTGTGACGAAAAATAAGAAGACCACGGCTGCAAAAGTTACTGCTGAAATGAATGTTGTGTTACCGAACCCTGTGAGTACCAAAACAATTAGAAGGGAGCTTCATAAACAGGGAATTGCTGGCCGTGCTGCAATTGAGAAGCCACTCATCAGTGATGCTAATGCCCGTAACAGGAAAAGGTGGTGTTTAAATCATAAAGCCTGGACTGGAGAGCAGTGGAAGCGAGTAATATGGTCTGACGAGTCTTCTTTCACATTGTTTCCCACTTCTGGCCGAGTTTACGTCTGGAGAACGCCATCTCAAGCCTATAATGCAGACTGCTTGTTGCCAAGAGTGAAACATGGCAGGGGTTCTGTTATGGTTTGGGCAGCCATATCGTGGTTCTCTGCTAGCCCCATGATAACTGTGTCAGGGCACATGACTGCCAAGACTTATGTGAACATTTTGGCCGATCAAGTTCATCCCATGGTACAAATCTTGTTCCCCGATGGTGATGGCGTCTTCCAAGACGACAAAGCTCCTGTTCACACAGCTCACATTGTCCGGACTGGTTTTCTGAGCACGAGGATGAGTTGTCCCATCTCCCCTTGCCACCACAATCACCAGACCTGAATATTATCGAACCTTTGTGGTCTACATTGGAACGGAAAGTGTGTTCTCGTCATCCACCGCCAACATCGTTATCTGAACTTGCCACCGTTTTGCAGGAAGAATGGTATAATATTCCCTTGGCAAACATACAGGAACTGTATTTATCCATTCTGAGAAGACTGCAAGCTGTTTTGGATGCCAACGGGTTTCCTACACCATATTAAGCAAAGAAACATGTTTTTTTTAAAGGTGTTTCCATATTTTTGTCCAACCCCTGCATATTTAGAGAGAGCTGTAATTGTGTAAGTTTTTAGTTTATAAAAATCGTGAATTTTTAAAATATGTTTATGAGTTAAAAATAATATAGCTTTTTCTTTATAGGGTGAATGAATTAACTATGCAATTAAATGACGAAAATACAGCAAAAAAAGAACTTGAAGAATCTTTCAAAGCAAAAGAAGAAGAAGTTGAGGTGAATTAAACGTTTATCTTTTTATAGAAGTACTGAATCAATTGTACCTTCATTCTGTTATGTTAAAATCAAAAATGAACTTTGCATGGTTGGAACTGTTATATTTTGCATTTTATTGTTTATAAATATGTCTTCAGTTAGTGAATTAATGGATAAAATTACCAGTTTTGTTTGATATGCACATATATATTTTAATATGGATATTGAAATATGTATGTGTATGGTAGGTATGCGGGTATAGTATGGTATAGTATTAGTATGGTGTAATATAAGAACTTTTCACATGATGTGACAGTCACTCGCCTTATTGCTAATGGGTTAAGAGTTCCTTTCTGTAAACTGCAGATGTCTCAGGAGCTGAAGGATGTTGACAAGGGCAGTGAATGTACTGCCTGTGCTTAATATTCTGGCAAAGCTGGACCAAGAGCTTGTTCCTGAACTGGTTGAGACATTTTTCACAGTGGTTTTATTAATAAGCAGAACTTTTCCCATCTAGTGAATATTTTCAAAAAATCGTAGACATGCCAAAAAGTAATGGTTTTGTATGCAGTAGGCATATTATGGGACTGTTGACTACTACTTTTTTTTAGAATTATATCAGTGATTTAAATTAGAATCATACTCCTCAAATTTAACAGCTTTCTGTTCACTTTTGTGAGTATTAGAAGAAGAGAGTTTTCACCCATTGTTTGATTGTTAAGACCAGAGTTTGTTTCAAAGTTAGTCAAACCTATAGACAACCCTAGAGTGCTCAATTTTTAGAGGTTGCAGGTTCAGTTGTTTTCATAAGCAATAATTAAATAAAAGTATATTTTCCTCTGAATTATTTGTCTGTGAAATTTTAATGGAGCATCCATGGTATTAATTTTTAAGAGCAACAAAAGTACTGGAACAAAGCGAGTTGAAAACTAATATTCATTCTGAAGTGTATGCAGTGGCACTGTGTTTCTACACCACTTCTTATAATGCATACTTTTGATTGGACGTTATTTAACAGACACTGTTTTGAAGATGTATTATTAATATTCATATGCTGTATTAACCATCTGACAGGTGCGGGGTTTCGCTAAAACGTTTCCAAATTCCCAAACCTACCTTGAGAAAGAGGTATTTTTTTTAATGCCAAAAGTGCTTTATATCTGGATTTATGTATGTTTAATCTGTTTGTTGCCTTAAATTTGTTTTGACGTATTTCAAGATACATGTGTACATACTTCCTTAACCCCTTCGAGCTGGGTAGCGAAAACACGCACTTATTGCGGAGGCCGGCAGTGTCTTCCACGAGCGTCTCTCCAGGGCCGGGGGCTTTTTTGCTACTAAGCCTAAATCCATGAAATTTCCGAAGTATCAATGCGTTGTTTAATAATGCTGTATAGAGTATTTAAATGGCTTATCCTTCCTAGATATTTTTATATATATACTTTAATTACCTTATTTCTTGTTTAAATGCATATTTTACACATTTTATTTTAATTATCACCATTTTATGACTTTTAACATTATACATCTGAAAACTAAATATATTACTTAAAATTCTCTTTTCGTATGAAAAATTTAAAACAGGGATCTACACACAGTCCTACATTAAATTCCTTGAACTCGTAATAACTCATTTGTCGTTTTGGAGGATTTTTCCGGGAATGTGAACAAACAAAGCATCGCCATCTCATTTTCTTATCAGTCTCTTCTGAACAAAGTTTTGGAAAATGTCTTTCAGTTAATCTTTCAGAATCAATATCAGAATATCAGAATTTCAGAATCAATATCTGAAATATTATGCATCATTTCTGCTATTTCATGCTCTGCTAAACATTTTCGACGCTTCGACATTGCAACGATAAAAACAGAAAGAATTCATGCCTAACAAGATCTAATTATTTTCTAAAAACTGAATTGTAAACCGAAATACTCAACGCTTTAGCGCATATAAAACTTCTACTTACAATAAACAACTACCATGTGCGAATAAAGTGTGATTTAAAGAGACGTCATAAATCACGCCATTCGGAAACATTTAGTTCTCCGTTTGTTTATATAATCAAAAACGCGTGTATGTGAGTCATGCTTCTCTCATATCGAGTAGAAGGTCTCACGTACATGTATCTGAAACCATATGGACATACAGTGCCATCTTGTGGCAGAAATTATAGTTTCTAAAACGTTCCAGGGTACTGGCACAAATACGTAACAGTCGGTAGTAAACGGGAAAATGCTCTGGCATGCCTGCGTGTCGGCCGGTAGGTGAGTGTGTTCGTTGTTGGCACGTAGACATGACAGTCAGTGCGAAGGGGTTAATAGGACTCCCAAAAATTTTTTACCTATATAAATAGAGGGTGCATAGCTTAGAAAAAATATTATAGTTCATATATTGCATTCTAGCCCCCCCCCCAAAAAAAAAATCATGGTTACATTTTAGAAAAAAATATTCTAGACCATATATGGCATATTTATATTTTGTTTTTAAAAAAGTTGTTTTGTAATTATATATCTACATATGTATACAAATGTTGTATGATCTTAAATTCACTTAGTGCGAAATCGAGTTATTCTACTACTTGCGCAATAGCTGCAAAGTAAGTTAATAATAATTTATTTACTAAAGAAATGTTGATTATATTATCTCCTAAGGTTAATTTTAGTAGAATTATCTAAAAAGAGTGAATCCATAGTTAGTTTTAACGAGGACTTGAATTAAATCATGAATAAAAAAATTTCAATTGTAAAAAAAAATTAAATTAAAAGCAAGTAATCATTGCCATTGATTGGAAATTAGTTCAAGGGGAACAAACCAACTCCTGTTCAATGAACAATAATTAAGAAATAAATACGAAGGTGTTTTGTCCTTTACTCAAGTAATAAGGCAATGCCAAACTGGCAATGTAAGTTAGGCCATATATTTCCGTGAACTGAAGTTATCAAGAACCAATGCAGAGCACTAAAGAACTCATTCTGATTAAGCATTTTCGCTAATTCAGTTTTGAGTGAAAAGCAATTTATGCAGTAAAATTGATAAATTACTTGAGTAATTGTCCCCCGACACCCTCGTGTTTACGCATTTTAATTCAAAACTATTTGTAAAAAATTAAACGTTGGGAATTGGCATTATGAAATAGAACTCAAAGTAATTGAAATAAACATTAGAAAATTATGAAATATAAAATATATAATGCAATCTTTGCAAAAACATTGAACATTTAAAATATATATAATAAGAAAAGGGAATGTACGTGAAAATATAAAAGGCCAGAAAAAGCATTAATTAACTTAAGTTCTTTCTAATAAGAAGTGGGCAAAGTGTTTTCTTCGCGTCTTACTCAGAAGGGTTGTGTTTCCGAAATTCTTTATTGGCAATGGGTGCTTCGAGTCGGCGAAACTTGTGTGAAGTAATTTATGGGAGAGGGAGTGACTAGGAATGCTTGAGGGACGTATGTTGTGGAGTTCTTATTTGAGTGAATTGAATTAGCGAAAATGCTTAATCAGAATGAGTTCTTTAGTGCTCTGCATTGGTTCTTGATCCCTTCAATTCACAGAAATATTCTACCTAACTTAAATTGCCAGTTTAGCATTGCCTTATTACTTGAGCAAAGAACGAAACACCTTCTTATTTATTTCTTAATTATTGTTCATTGAACGGGAGTTGGTTTGTTCTCCTTGAAAGGTCAACTAATTTCTGATCAATGGCAGTGATTACTTGCTTTTAATTACTTGCTTAATTTACTTGCTTTACACACAGAAAGTAGTTAAAAGCTTCTGTCACTCTCATTAGATTCTATTCTGAGAGTGGAAACAGAAAGGTACATACATGTTTGCCATCTTGATTTCATTGGCGAAACTAAAAACCCTTGACTGGAAAGTAATCACTCAAAAGGCTACAATCCTGTATGTAAAATGTAATTTTGAAACCAAAAGGAAAACTTTTTAATATTTCAAAGAAAATTTATTTTTAGTGAAAGGAAAAGATTGCATATTAATTGAATTGAAATTTAAGTAAAATCTTACTCTTGTAAAACAATAAGTGAATAAATAATATTATTTAGTGTAAAACTGTAATTAAATTTTAAAATCAATTAATAAAACTCAAAAAGTTATCCAAAAAGTGATCAAATAGTTTTTAATAATTGTTAGTAGATATGAGTAATGTATCTGTAAAGTTAAATTTCAGTTTTTAAATTCCGTAGTTTAAAATTACAGAAAGAGTTGAAAAGGGAAGTAAAGGAACTATGTTAGTAAAGTAAAGTCTTTTGTCATGAGCATTTCATGACGACTGTGAAAATGTTATGTTAGTAAAAGAATAGTAATTAAAAAAAAAAAAAAAAAAAAAAAAAAAAAAAAAACCTATATACCCTTTAAAACATCATTCTTTATCCTTCTCTTTCGGAGCTTTCAGATAAAAAATTCACACTTTTAAAAAGTATTATAGGGTGTAGACTACTCCAGATTTCTTTAACATATACTAATGAATTTTAAAGGATTTTCGTTATATTTAAAAATATTGGTGAGAATTAGAATTCCTTCTTTTTGTGTGTCTATTTCAGTGCGAACTTTTTTATTTCTACTAATTTATTTAAAAATAGTGTTTGCAATAACTTTTTTAGATATGTTTGAATTTTAATTAATAAGTTTATTAGTAGAAAAAAAAACATTTTTCTTTTATCAAAAAGTTTCATTTCCTTTAGTTTATGATATAACTTTAGATCACGATAAACTATTTCTGTTTGGTTTTCAATGGTTTTATTTAGTTTTAGACACTTTGGGTAGATGTTGCTGTTTTCGATGCGATTAAAATTGCTGAAAGTAGTAATGTCATCAAAGTATCTGTATGTGTGTCCAAATTTACTGAAATCTTTATCATAAAGGCTTTTAAGGAATTTAAATTCTTTAGAAAAAGGTTACAAATATGAGTAGAATATAAACTTCCCATTAGAATTCCTTGTGTTTGCAGGTAAAGAACGTTTGAATGTTTAATATAGTTATTGTATAGTGAAGGATGCAGAAATTATTTCCATTTTTGTAAATCCATTATATTAAGTATTTCAGGAAAAATTCTGTCATTTCTATAAAACTTTCGTAAATATATTGGAGTGGCAGGGTCATGTAGAAGTTTTCAAAGTCATAGCAGTTAATATTGTAAATTTTAAGATTTTTTAACTTCTTCAATGATTTTTGAGTTGTTGTAAATAATCCAGCAGGAGTTTTTGTCTTCTTTAGCTTATTCAAAAACTACTTAAATGTCTGTGTGTTATTTTCCATTTCATGACCAAGTAAAGCTGTCAAGAGTTCTTACCATCTTTTATTTGTCATTTGAAGTTAGTAGATAAAATATATACCACCCTGTATTATCATTGAATATGGAAGTATTTTTCATGTCATTTATTTAAATTGTTGTGCATGTATGGGCTCATAATAGATTAAATGCTCACAAAATCGATGATAGATTGTTAAAATTTATTTTGTGAAAAGAAACACTGTACAGGTCTGGAACTTTCCACAAAAGTACTCGTATAGTTCTAGACCTTGCGATTTAGATTTTCATCTCTTCAAGGTCCCTTCAGAATTCTTTGAATGGCCTAGAGTTCATTTCTTTGGAGACTTTCAAACATCATCTCGATACTTCTTCACAAATAAACCTATTTCTAAAAAAGGAATTTTCCAGCTGCTGGAGAGATGGTAAGAGGTCATAGAGCAGAATAGTGCTTATTTGAACCAATGAAATATTTTTATGTTTTCATGCTGCTTCATTTATGTTTATCATAAAAAAAAAACCACAGAACTTTTAGGATTTTAAAATATTTAAAAGTATGAATATATTTCTTATAAAAAGATAAGTTTATTACTATATGATGATAATAATTATTAATAAATTCAAATTGTTTTGTGTTATAGTCTTTAAAACAGTTGGTTCAGCTGTCTGAAATTTTGAGTGGATCAGAAGAAAATGAGAATAAAGATGCTGAAGGTGTTAAATGTATGTATTTAAAAATTTGTTTTTAAAACATTTTGTGTAGAGAATTTGGAAAATTTTATTAAATGTTTTCAAATTTTTGCTAATTATTTTATGTATTTATTTCTGTTGAATCTTAATTAGTAGTACCTGATTAATGTTCTCAGTTTGATGCTGTTGTGATTGCTCTAAACTAGGGGTATCAAGGGGGCGGGGAATGGGGTCGGATTTTATTTAGCTTTTATTATAATTTAGTTTTAATTTATGAATATAAAAAACTATTTTTATTCAGGATTTTGTATTTATCAACATTTTCTTTATCTTTTGTTGTTTAATTTATGAAACGTTAAAAATAATCGAAACTTAAATATGCATATGCATCTTTATTTCTCTGTACGAAGTAAAAAAAAGTATTGTAATCACGAAAAGTTTTGGCTATTAAATTTCAGAAAAAATATTCATTTTGACTGCTCTCCGTTCCATTTAAACGATGTTTTTGCATGGCATCCGTACGTACCGAGATGCTGTTTGGATAAAGTGCCTGTAAGGATAAAGAATTCTTTTTTTCAAAATGGATTGTAAAGTAGATTTAAATGGACTCAGAAAAGATTTATTCATGATGTTTGTATGTACATACACATCTTATACAACACAAAAAATGAGTAGCCATAGAATGTTGAAATTTTGTATATGGGACGGCTATAACAATGTAGTTGTGCACCTTTCTTTTTCATTGCAATCAGCCGCACCAAATACGTATATATATTCACACTCTGTTACCCGGCTTGGTGAGTTCAATTTTTTATTGATACAGTACGAAGTTCGTAATTTGGACTCGTCGGGACTTCGGCGATTCCAGATTAGGGGTTTTTCCTGATTATAGATCATCAATTTAAATCTGGTAAGATGGCATGCAGAAATTATACAATTAAATATATGAAACCGTAATTTATGAAATAAAGCGCAATTATGATCTAAAGGGTATTAAAATTTACAAAAAAAATAAGCTAAATATTTATTTGTTTACTTTATTAAACATTTCTTTCAATGTAACATTTTTTTGTGCTAATACTTTCTATTTAATTCTATAAACAGGCATAATTTCTTGTTCAGGTACAAAGTTCCTCTGTTCAAGGCCTGTAATTTCTGTGTCGACAATACTGACTAACTTGTCGATCAAAATTTTTTCGTCTTCACTAACCTCTCTGTCACTTTCATCACTATTGGAAACGGTTTTTTTCTGGATCTAGAACCATACTACAGATTTCGCCGTCTGTTAATTGATTGGGGCTTTGTCGTTGCAATGAAAACCTTCTGTTATATCATCTTCATTTATTACCACTTCTCCACATTTCTTTACAAAATCCAATAACTGGAAAATTTCACCTTTAGTTTGCAATGTCCGAAAACCTTCAAATTCGCGGCTATCATCTTCATCGTCCTCACCATGAACTATGGTAGCTGGCTATAAATTATGCCAAGCATTTTTTAACGTATCTGGAGACATATCCTCTCACGATCTTGCGATGCTCCACACAGCAGATTTTATGCTAAAAAATTTCAAAATGTCTTGAAAAGTCTTGCCATTTTCAAGAAATTTAACATAGATTTTAAAAATGCTACTTTATATTTGCATTTCAGTGTGTGCACTATTCCCATATCCATAGGCTGAATAATAGACGTACAATTTGGGAGGAAGATAATACAGATACATTATCTTTCACTAAAACTTTAAATGAAGTATGCACCAAACAGTTGTCAACAATCTGGACTTTTTTTGAGTCATCAGGTAAACCAACCTAATTCAAATGTCGCCGAGCCTCGGGTATAAAATAATTTTCAAACCAATCATTCATCAACGCTTGTATCATCCATGCTCTTTTATTTGCGAGATATATAACGGGGAAACTCGTTACTCCTTTAAATGCTCGAGGCCGTGCATGTTTTCCGATTACGAAAAGTTTGCACTTGTGCGTTCCTACAGCATTTGCGCATGCTAAAATTATTACATCTCGCTTTGGAATCTTTGACACCAGTGGGAGCCTTTTTCGTAGAGGTTGCCAAGGTATTTCGTGGTAAATATTGCCAGAAAAGACCAGTTTCATCAGCATTGTAAATTTGTTCTGGAGATAATTGTTCACTAGTAATGAGTTCAATGAATTCATCTGCAAATTGTTTAGCAGCTTCAGTATCAGCTGAAGTATCAGCTTTTTCACCTGAAATTTTTAATTGTTTTATACCATGACTATTTTTAAATTTGGTTAACCAACCTGTCGAGTGTGTGCACTCAGTGTTTAAGTTTATTTCTTCATGAAATATTTTGGCTTGAGCCATTAGCATTGGACCCGTCAATGGCACACCCTCGCTGTGATGCTGTCTGAACATTCAATCATCACTTTGTCATGATTGTCACTTTTAGCATAATGAATCCTTTTTCTGTTATTCATTGCAAGTGGGGTGTCGGAATCCACAAAAAATTCAAAAAGTTGCTGTTTCTTTTTGCTTATGTCATATACAGTTGACTTTCCAATGTCATACTCCTCGCTTAATTATGAGACGGATATGCCTTTATCCATTTTTTGCAGCAATTCACTTTTTGTTTGACGGACATCGAAACATGCTTTCGCTTTGTAGATTCTTTGGCAGCTCCAGAATTGGAAACTTTTTGACATAATTGAAAGTTCAAGCTTAATTTTTATAAAATTACTCTAACATTCTGCAAAAAATAATAAGCTGGATCCAATTAGAAGATTAAGGAACAGCGCAATCTGCAACATTAACTGAAATGCTTTAGATTCAGTAAAGATAATTTTAGCGTAGCTTATACCGTCTGTTATGCATTAAACGTGCATGCGTAAAACATACAAAAAAAAAAAAAGTTTGTGGCTTTGTGGTCCGGATTATAGATCATAATGGACGTCCGGATTACGGACTTTTTACTGTATATGTTTGTAAATTGTGCCTTTTTTTCCCTTTAAATTGAATTATGTTGTTCTTATATTGCGGTTAAGTTTTTTTTCCCTTTAGTTAATCTGCATGCAATAGTTGTAGAATTATCAACAATTTAAGAGTTTAAGTTGCAGTAAGCCTGCTCGATGGCCAAATCGCGTATTTTTGCATAGAAACTAATTTTAATTGCAATTTTTCTTTTTTTTTTCTTTCTTTCTTTTTTTTTTTTTTTGTTTTGTTTTGTAAAATTATATTTGGCGTTTTAGGTTTTTCTGCATTTTACAATTTTTAATGAAGATGAGATTAATGAGAAGTTTTATGTATTTTGGCTTTTCTGTGAAGCAAGAACTGAATTGATTGAATTAGAAATATATCTCTAATGAAATTTGAGGAAATAAGTTTAAATGAATTGCAGCAAAAGTATGTGTAATTTAATATGCCATACAGGGAAGTCATGTGGTGTCCACATCGGATATTTTGAGTTTCAGGAAGAGTATAATGCTCTAGCGAGAAATGGATAAAGCAGAAGTAGGAATATAATTGTCCTCAGAATTTGAGGTATTTTTAGTAAAATGTATTTTATTGTGTGAAAAATATTAACAAATGTTCTGCAAATAACGTACACCCTGTGCACAAAAAGATATGCCAAATTTTAAATCGGTAATTCTAAGCAAAATGGTGCATCTTATAGTGCAAAAAAAATTAACATGAAATTTAGATTTGAAACTTTTTATGCAGAAAGGTTAGAGTGGAATTATAAAAATTATTGGCAGGAAGCTAATACTTAACTTTTGGGAAGATATGCAGCTGGCTTGCAGAAGCTGTGATGTTAATTGCAGATCAGTGTTAACTTGTAACACCTGGCTGAGGAATCTAGTAGCTAAGTTCAGTTACAATAAAAATAAAGTTCTCTGTGCTGTGACATCATTTATCACCTCCAGATTTCCAGCTCTAAAACAGATCAACACAGAAATGAATAACTTTAAATTTATTCTGCCTTGCCATTGTGAGGGGTTAAATTAAAATACAAAGTTATCACTCATCAGAACTTCTTAAAAGCAGTCTCCTTTTACAATTGCTATAGATTCAGCAATTTAACGTAACCTTATCAGAAGCTACAAGCTTCACATAGAACATGGCCAGAATTTAAGACATGCTACCTATCAATACAGTGTTATCCTTAGCCTATAATATTAAATTCAAGATCAGTGTAGCCATACCAGTGTCCAAGTGGTATAGTTGCTGAACACTGGTAGTTTGACCTGGCTTTGAATCCTGATGAATGAACTGGCTGCCTGGACGTTTTTATGGTTTCCTTATATGTTATGTGTACACTAGCCACTTTCCTTTAAAAACAACTCCATGAAGGCATCCTTAACCCTAGAGATGGATCTTTTGTTGTATGCTCTGCCATAATCATATAAACAAAAGCAACCAAGATCAGCAGTAGAGTTGACAACAAATATTGAAACCTTATATGGCAAGGCAGTTGTGACTAGCATGCCCAAACTATCACACATATCTATCTACAGTTCTTCTAACTTTATAGTAAAACTGCATGTCACTCAGATCTGTTTATTCTGGAATGAGCGAAATTTGTGGTAAAATGAGACAGAAAGGAAGGATGCAAATTGTATAAATTAATTAACATTGTGTTAATAAAAATTAAATAATATTTTGTAAATGAATGCCTAAAGTTACTTCATTAAATTTTCTAAATTCAGCTTATTTCATAATTTTATAACTTGGTATTTTAGAGGATTGTTGTAAAATGTCTAGATTGGATTTTACATGATTGAGATAAGAACTCATCAGCTGCAGTGTTTCATGATAGTATGTCACATTCTCGTCATATTTTACCTTTATATTTCTATTTAATAATGTCATTTATATTTATCTGACACCTTAAAAAACACACTTTATAATAATTGAACATAGTATTTTGCCCGGCTATATATACTATGTTCAATTATAATTATTGATAATTAAACATTGTATATATAGCTGTGCAAAGCAATTATTGAATATACTGAAAAAAAAAAATTGTTTAGCCGTAATTTAAGTGGTAAAAGAGT